AGTTAGTTCCCTTCGAAATGCATTGTACAATGACTTGGTTTCGGCTTAAATAGCAATCACATTCAATCCGTCACGTTTGATACCTTCCTGTTCCACGGAAAACGCACCCCGTCGCATCCATCCCAAGACATGATGAAATCGATCGAATTAGATCCAGTATCCTGTGAAAGTCTCGTAAGAGATAAGAATTACTTGTGTCAGAATGAATCCTTTTATTTACGTTCTGCTTTCTAGTTCACACGAGAAATCGTTTCTTATGAAAGAAAAGTCAAAAGAATCGAGAATTCATCTTTATGATTGATAGCATACTGTCATGATAAAAAAAAATTATAATTGAAGTTCTGCTCACATACAATAATGCGTGCAGGTAAGACTTCCATCGATATTTTCAAGGAAGCAACCATTTCCTACACTTGGTGTAAGTGTTATTGACGTGCTGATTGGAACTTGCTGCTTCGACAAGCAGGTGCAATTAAAGACGCAGCCACCATTCGTTTGTGTACATTGGAAGCAGCTGTAGGCATAGCTTGATCCAGGGCACAGATGACAGGTAGGAACTGAATAGTAACACTTATCCATCATTAGAAATAAAACTTTCAGAGCTCAAATTTCTTTATTTGAAAGCTTATCGACATAGAAGCCTTGAATATATCCAACCATCGAACTATATGAATAAGTCTCGTTAGTGCTGTATTTTGTTCAGTTTTGACTATTCTTTCAAACAAATCGTCTGGGCATTAGCCGTGACACTTTACCTTTACTTTACTAGTAATTACTGTTGACGCCAATATCAAGTACGGGTGAACATAAGGCGAATGATTATGTATAAAAGTAATAGTACATGAGATTTAATTTAAATAATCTAATAAATGAAACAAATGTAGAAGCTTTTAACCGAAAGCTTTTTTGTTTATTACTACAAGTGTGGGTGTGGGCGTAGCTGAAAAGGAAATAAACATCCACACCCACACCTACACCCACATCCACTAGTTCTGAAAACTTTGCTATCTTTCAGTACATGGTACGAGCAATGAGGTCCACATACGATGTGTGACTAAAAATGAGAAAGTTGCTCTTCTTTCGAACATGCCATTAGGGAAGATCGCTAGCACAAATACGAAAATATTGGTTGAGGTTTTCTTCAAAGAAATCGATGGACAGCACAAAAACATCACCTTACTATTAGAACAATGCCTTCAAACATAGTTACAAGCCGTCTCTATGTAATTTAACAAATGTACTGAGAAACGAAATGATTTTGAAGCGAGTAAATATGTTTAAGTAAATTGTATATCAAAAGACGGTGTTTATTCAGTAGAAAGTCGACTAAGGTCTATCTCTTTGTTGCTGAATATCGGAAAGTAGTTGAAAAGATGCATTCACGAGAGAATCTTTACTGATGTGAAGAAAAAGTAATCTGCTCTGATTAGTAGTCTGAATTCACACCAAATAGATGTTTAATATTGCTCATTGTCTCTCTATGTGAAGACATTAGGCTAGCAATTGCAGCACATAACAGACTTGCTCTGGTATTTTTCATTGGTTTTTATCTGCATTTGATAAAATATGGTAGTTACTGTAGATAGCAAATATAATCAAGTTGGAAATAGCTGTTTCACTCGTTAGATGGATCTGTCAGTGACTACAGAAACGAAGTATGTCCGTTCAATATGGTGACGGCATCTCTCAGATTATGAAAAATTTTGCTGGAGCACTACGATAACCCGTTCTCATTCCTACACTCTTTGGAATTTACATGCACTTTTTTTGCTAGAGATGTTTTCTCGTTTCTTCTCACATTTGTTCTGAAAGGCACACTCGAAAAGAGGCTTTGACTAAATATACGACAATTGGTAGAACGAATGAAAGTTTCAATGATTACTTTAGCTTCTTTTTCGAAGAATAATCATGCTCCTATTCAACGTGAAGAAAGAAAATGCACTACTTCTACAATGCTGTTATCCTTGGATAGCAGACGATCTCTTACGCAAGCGAACAAGTAGAGACCGGTTCACATTTCAAGTATCTCGGCATGAGTCAGAATTCAGAAGTGTGTCGGATTGCCAGATTGTCTTTTCCCACTGGGTCAAAGCATGTGGATGTGAGTGTTCAGACTAGTCTACTGCTATCAGCCAGACTCGCGCTCACGCTTAATTCAATCTCATGCCCACCCATACATTCACACTTTACTATTCAAAATCTACAAAACACGCTAGTTTTACGAAGCTAGGAAAATCGACTCGAAGTTGAATTGATAGAGTGAAAACTGCTCCTGTGAGATCTTATGTTATTTGAACTCTGAGCTTTAGCAAAATTTAACAGCATATATCAAAGTTTGTCGAGAGAAAAGATGGTGCGCTAGAAAGCTTACTGAACGATTAATTCAATGTATACAGTAGGCTAAAATGTTGATTGAACTGATGAAATCAAGAATAAAATGATATTTGACGCTGCCTACAACAAGTGTTATATCAAGGAGGAAAAGCAGAATTCAAGATTTCAAGATTCTCAAAGATTTTAGGTCCCAAAATCTGCTTTTTCCCCCTTGTTCTTAGTGGTGGTCATTATAAAGATTGATCATCCACTCAATGGTACTCCTGAATACTATAAATGTTTTCCCTAGTGGTGGTTCCTATACTTACCGATCGTCTACTCAATGTTAGTCGTCAATAGTACAGATGGCTTACCTATTGCTGGTTCTGATAGATGTTAATCATCTACTTCATGGTTATCCTCATTAATTTAGAGAATCTAATTGCTGATGCTCTTAATAGGTACGCATCAACTTCTCAATACTGGTGCCCAATGTTATAGATGATAGTAAACGACCGAAAATAGCATGTTAAAGAATAAATGTATGTGTTTTGGAAAAGTGTAGCATTTGAAGGGTTGGTTGGATGAAGGCTAAGTTTATGGGTATGGGTGGATGTTAATGTGAATGAAGTGAAGAGTCAAAACCACGCTCACATCCACACCCACAGCCGCCCACATAGACATCTACATCCACATCCAATGTGTGCTTTTCTTATTTCGTTGAGTACTAAAGATTATCAATTTATCTCTGCAGACTCGGCTAACCGTTGTCTGGATTTGAGAAATAAAGTTGACATTATACGTATAATCAGCAGAACTTTCCATCACCTGATCTTTTTCTCTGTCTTATGCATTGTGTATTTGTAGAGGCACTTCTTCAATATTTCCTTCTACTGTCTCTAATTTTCGCTAATAAGCTTGATTGTATTTTGTTGTATTGTTGTTTCGATGAGTGTTCTCAAATTTTACAGCGAACACTGTAACTTTTATAGCCAAACGTGTGAATAAGAAATTTTCGATAGTAAACGTTATCACATACGCTTTCAAACGAAGCACAACGACCCTACCATAACTTAATGAGACTTGAACAGTGTCTACGCGAGAACTGATAAAACTTAATCTGTTTTGCGAAACTATCATCGATGTCGTGCAATGAAAGGGAGCATTTAGCTAACTAACGAAACCATGAGTGACTTGATACAGCATCCAAACGTTCCATATTTGTTAAACGAAGCTTCCAATAATTTTATAAATCTTATATAATGGTTTCGTATATATTGTACGAAACCAATAATGGTTTCGTATATAGGATACGAAACCACTGTTAGTTCCGCAAGTGGTAAAACGGTTCTGTAGAAATTGTACGGAACTATTGATGGTTTCACAAGCTATATTCTGGTTTTGTACAATGTATAAGAAATCTTTGATAGTTTCGTAGAACATCTAAAGGTTTCGTATACATGTCACGAAACCATTTGCAGTTTTGTAGAGCCTCTAAAGGTTTCGTATTAGTTCTACGAAACCATTCATACTTGTGTAAGTGCTCAAATAGTTTCGGACACGTTCTACAAAACTAGAAATGGATTCGGAAAAGATATACCGAACTATTACATCAATGATGAAACTATGAATAGTTTCGTACAATGTATGCTGAACTTTTTGATGTTTTACGAAACTTTCAATAGATTCGTATACGATGTACTGAACCTTTAGTTGTTCCACGAAACTATCAGTGGTTTCGTAAAACATCAAAAGGTTCAGCATGCATTGTACGAAACTGTTCACAGTTTCGTAAGTGATGTAATGGTTCGGTATATCTTCTCTGAAAGCATGGCTAGTTTCGTAGGACATGTTCAGATCTATTAGTGCACTTACGAAGCTATGAATGGCTTCGCAGAGCCTATACGAAACTGTCCAAGGTTTCGCTCAAACGGTACGAAACTACCTAAAGTTCAGTACATAGTACCCGGAACTTCTAGAGGTTTTCGTAGTAAAATTTTGAAACCTTCTTCGTTTTTCCGAACTTAAAAAGGTTCCGTATAAAAATTACGAAACCATTTCCATACCATGAAACTTAAAATGGTTTCGTAAAACAGTATGAAACCTTCAAAGTTAGGTAGAAAACCTATTTTTTTCAGTGTGGTCACTAGAACAATGCTCTTCTCAATTTTCCCAAAAAAATGTTTATTTTCCTCGTCTTATAGCTCGCTAAAAATAAATTATCACGATCGCATTATGCAAACTTCTTGAAACTTCGAGAATTTCAACATACGAAAGTTTCTACAACCTTTATTGCTTAGTGCCTATAGGCTCCATTTTCGACGGATTTTAGTTTGATATTAAATTCATCATTTCCTCTATTTGAACTTTTCGCGATATCCTCCTGGTAAAATGTTATTTCCAATCTAGTATATCCATCTTTTATCAATTGTTTTCGTTTTTAGCTCTTTCGACCTTTGTTCTAACTATTCATTTAAAGTTTCTTCGAGATTAAGTTACTTTTTAGTTTTGTCGGAACATGTAAGAGAACTTGGTCATATTTCTTATCTATTGTATTCATTAGAGGCTATAATGTTTGCACATTTCTTCTTATCATACGTTGGTTCTTGGCATATCAAAAGGGCCTGTCGTAGATGAATATAAAGAACATAACATTTTTCGTCATTTAAGAGTATAAATTCTTGAAAATGACTGCACACCTTGAGGTAATAATAGTTTATTTGAAAATATTTGATTTAATTTAATTTTTGACTCCTTCTAGTGTCGAGAGTATCGTAACTTTGCTAATGATACATGTAATTTTATACGTACAACAGCTCACTGTGACATGGAAAATGGTTTTATACCATATCTCGTATTTCTGTTTTGTACTATAGGTAACAAATTATTCGTTCTTGGACTAACACTATTGGTAAATATGAAAAAAAAATAATTTTTTAAATAATAATTTTATGTAATTTCAGGCTGGTTGGTTACTTGTTCTATTCGTCGGTCTTGGCGTGACTGCTGATTCTTAGTAAATAAATAAATTTAAAAAAAAGACAATGATTTAAAGTCCTTTATTTTAGTTTTTGTCCTGCTCTTCGTGTTACCGCTCGAGTTCTTAAATTATCAGAAAATATTGCAGTGAGTTTATTTTGACTATTCTAATTGTGATACTGAACATTTTTTTCTTTAGGGTGTAACATTTCTTGCATTTGGTAATGGTGCACCTGATATATTTTCAGCTGTAGCAGCTGTTGGTAGTGCTAAATCTGGCGATCTTGGTTTAGCATTTGGTGCACTTTTTGGTATGTGAAGAAAAATTTTTGCTTAAAATGATTTAAAAGAAAAATTCTTTTTTCTTAGGTGCTAGTATATTTGTAACAACAGTTGTTGTTGGTTCAATATCTCTTTTAAAACCATTTCATTCCATTCAACGACCATTATTACGTGACATAGTTTTTTTTATTATTGTAACATTTGCTGCTTATGTTATAATGTATGATGGAAAAATCCATTTAATGGAAAGTTTATGTTTTATAATAATGTATGTTATTTATTTAATTCTTGTAATTGGTGGACGTTTTATAAATCAACGAAGAAAAGCTCGTCAAGCTCTATTACAAGCTGCACAAATGACAGCAGTAACTAAAACTTCTGCACCTATACAAATAAACGGACAAACATCTATATGTGTTAATGATATTAATGCAGACACTCCTGATGAACATTATTCCCAAGCTGATGTTTCATTTGCATTATCACACCGTCATGAATTTTTACCACGGGATGATATACCATGGGCAAAAAGAAGTATATTTAATAAAATTTTTTCAATAATTAAAGTAAGACAGATTGTTTTTATAATGTAGATATATTTAGTAATATTTTATAGTCACCGATTATACTCATTCTTCATCTTACTATTCCATTGGTTGATTATGATAAACCGAAAAATAATTGGAATAAATTTTTGAATTCATTTCATCTTCTTTCAAGTCCGTTGGTTATGTCATTTTTAACAAAATGTTAGCAGATTTTGATCAAGAAAATAATCTTCTTAGAATAATTTTGTTTTTCTTTAGTGGGATTTATTAAAATTGGAAATGTTTTTCCTGTGTGGGCTGTTGTAGCTATTGTTGGAGCAATATTTTTTATCACATCGTTAATACTCACTCAACATCATACAAAACCAAAGTATCACTCGGTAATAAGATAATGTGTGGCCCAGAATAAATAGTAGTATCAGTATTTTCTAAACATCTCTTTCAGTTTTCATAGTTTCGAACTAAGTTTTCTACGAAAAAATTCTGCGATTAATTCTCTACAAAATCGTATAAAAGCGAATGTCGTACAAATAAAAACAAAAAAGTTACCTAAAGAACCCTTCGAACATGCGGTATCAACAACTTTTACAACACTACTTTTCAAATTGGTTTTTACTGCTTTCTACTGCTAAAACATTGTTCCAAAGCTTTAGAGTTTCAATTATAATAAAATCCTGTGAGTTCTATCTAATGGAACATTTAAATGAAAATATTGTCAGAGGATCGAGTTTTCCAAGGATCAGTTCGAATATAGCATTGCTAGAATTTTTCCTTGAACCTAATCGATAGGAAATGAGATTTAATCAATCGAAATTAAGGTAGACTTTCAAAGCATTTCGTAGAATGACTTATGTTTGGATGAAACGCATTTTACTAGAAGGTCGAAATTTCAATGCAAGAAAGTTTTGGTCTGAGTAGGAGCCCTTCAGACCGAGCC